CAAATGTACCGCTGCACAACAATAGAAGGTAATTATTGTAGAGAATATTTTTTGCTGTGGAGATTATAAATATAATTTATTCGATTTATTTTCGTTAGATGTAAAGATGCCTATGGAACCTTTGTTCGGATACATCGAGGACATTTGTGTGCAGGGAAGCTGAACGGCAAAGGCGGAACATGTGTGGTAAGTTGATGAGAATCATATTTGGCAGTTTATTCTATAAAGAGTCCCAGTCCCATCCTTTCTGCTTGCTGAGAGCGATGTTTTTAACAACAGTTTCTTCAAGGCATTTCTGCTAGTGTTTCGTTAGACCATGAGTCCCTCTGTTTCACGAAGATGATGGAGTGGATTTCCCCTTTCATCCGAAAAAAAATAATCAGGGCTTTTTAAAATTTCAATGTAACTGAACGTTTGAATAGACGACCGTCTTAGTGAAACAAGCTGTCCATCCGAGATGAGAGTTTCACATAACGTAACTACGCTTGTTTCAGATATTCAGTCTGACTCAAAAGTGTTGATTGAGGTTCCAATTTTAGCCTGATTTTGCGGTAAATTGACCTCACATTGCGCCTATGGTTCTTCGGCAAAAAGAACAGCATCTATGTGTCTTATCGACCGTTTTTGTACATTTATTTTTCTTGTCTATGATGGCGTCCTCTTGATTATCATATTGTCCAATTTTTGTCTTTCTGGTGAAGAGTCGTATCTTCGCTTTTATAGGGTGGAATCCTTGGTCAAATCGATCAGTTAGGTGGAAAGTGTACATTAATAAGAAGTCTTATTGATTCTTGAGATGATATGGTTTTGTTATTTTAATCATCCACTATTATATCGATTTGAGTTTCTGATGCACCGTTATCCCTATAAACCTCTTTCTTCTCGTTTCAGTGGGGTTGTGTGATGTTCTCCTCGACTCTCTATCTTTATTAGCAGGGCGTTACTAATTCGCAGTTCTTTGCGAATCTCAAAACTTCCTAATTCTTCACCAGTAATGTGTTGTTTGAAGACCAACGACTTCGAGTCTTTGTTGCCTTCTACAATTGAGAAATGTCCTGTTTCATAGGGCTCGGTGAAAACCCACTTAAACTCACAGCATGCCAGATCGGTAGGATCCCCTTCCTTGTAAAAAGTGTTCAAATTATTGTTGACCACATAGGTTGACATCGACAACCTGATCTCTTTACCGTACTCATTATTTTCGTGTATCACTGCGTGGCGCCACATTACCAGTGTTTTCTGTCATATTCCTCTTTTTTGTTGTCCGGTCGTTCCCCTTGGTAGTTTCAGACTTAACCAAAATGTTATGTCATCTTCCTCTTTTATGTAGTCCGGTTGCCTTCAACCAATTGCTCTCCGCTAAACGGCCTTCGTATATTTCCTTCCTTAGTGTAGTTTTGGCCTCCTTTTTTCTACCCTTGTCTTTCCAATCTTAGGACACATAGTACGTCTCACCCTTCGTCTTGGCCAAACTTGTCATAGAAAGCTAGTCTACGTCTAAAATTCTCTTCCCGGTGGAGGACTCCCCGCATCTTCACTAACAATGACTTGTTTTAAAGAACGAAGACCACAATCATACGTTCGGAAGTGATCTCCATTCCCGACAGCCTAACAAGGAAGGTTTCGTTCTAAAATCGAGGAAGGAATCAAGGAATCTGCCTTGAGGAGACAATGGTAGCTACAATCTTCATTAGGGTTACTACCCTCGTTGATGAATGAAATTATAGTTTCAGATAGTTCCCCTTAAGCTAAATAACTATAAAAGCCCGTCTTTAAAAAAATGTAACCCAAGATCTCATTGTTAATTGCATCTAACACCTCTTTGTGGATTTCTTTTCTCTATTTGAAGGACTCACTCACTGATTATATGGAACTTCCGGGGTTCCTTGTTCGTGGTCGAATCAATTTATAGCATGAGATAGTTCATCTTAGACTCACAGCCTGAAAGATAGACAGCATACCCTTCTTGATGAGGGGTGGGGCTATTTACCAGTGCTTGCTACCATCTTCAACTTATTTGCAATCCGTTTTTGGCTTTTGAAATTTCTAAACTTGACGAGAAATTTCGAGGCTGCACGATTCTTTCTCTGATTCTAATCGTGGCAGTCTAATTTGACTTGGGGTTAGTTAGCAGACAAGAGGAGCCCTTCATGCTTCCAACATTTTCCACAATAATGTGTGCTTTTGTAGGTTTAAGTTCAACCAGAACTTGCAAAATTCCAAAAAAGATCGGCACAATATTTTAAAGGGCAAACATTTTTATATTAGACTATGTCAGAATATGTGGACCCCTGTAAATATTTAAGTATAACTATTGACCGGTCATCATCAAAACATACACACTTATTCGTTGTACAGGTCCCCTTCTCTATGTCAAATTTCGGGTGATGTTCGGGTCACAATGTGATCTATTGAAATAAATATTAACCGATCAAACCAAATCTGCATGCCAAATTTCGCAATTGTTTCTTAACTGTGGTCTGTACTTTCTTTAAAAATTTAATGGACAGAATGTTTCTTCGCACATGGTTAGAAAGATTGAGCTAGTCGAAATATGACAATCGGTAAAGTAAAAGTTAGGTATAAGACCAATACTTCAAGTATTACAAACTCTTAAGGGTCACAAAAACTGACAATATCCTCATAGTTGTGTAAGATATAAAAACCTAAAATTGTTAAGTTCGGCCGGACCGAACTTTTTATACCCTCCAACATGAGAAAATCATTTGGGGCCTTAATAAATGAATGAGTCAATTTTTGGGCTATCCTAAGAATCGGTATCGATCAATTTTTCGTAGATGGTTTTGCTATCCAATGGGAACTCAAGGGTTATAATAAAAAGTTGGACCTATTTTGATACGTTTTGGTAGGAAAATACAAACTTGTGCAAACTCCCCAAAATACTGAATAATGGGGAGTACCGTTAATCTCTCTCACTTTTGGTAGGGACATTTTGGGTACTCAAAGTACCAAATCCGTAAAAAAAAACTTTCGAAAATCCCCAAAATACCGAATATTGGGGGTATCGTTATAATGGGACTACTCTAAAGTAGACCGATACCATACATCATAGGAGTAATATCAAATAATATGCAAAATTTCAAAGCTCTATATTAAATATTGTGAGCTCTAACGAGATTTCAACAGACAGACCAGCATAAATCGATACAGAATCTTATTATTATCTTATATATATATATAAATTGTAGGGATTTCCGATGGTAATTTTGAGGAATGACAAATTTAATATAAACTCCACCTAATGGTGGAGGGTATAACAATTGCGTAACGAAGCATTTTTTTAACATGAACTGTCATATTATAGTCCCTTTGTTTGGTAAATGTTGGGCTTTCTTACAACTATGAGCTATTGTCGGTTTCGATATTATTTTCTGTCGACCCCAGGTTCCGCCAAAATTACTCAATTTCGTTTCAAAAACTAAACACTCATAGGTTGAGTGTTTATATGTGTCGTTTATTTTTGAAAGTGATTTAAGTATATTTTAGGTGATACAAAACTTGGGTTTCAAGTAATGTCTACAGAACCAATTACGTTATATATTTTAACAAGTTTAAGATCGCAAAACCTCACACAAAATTAATACTACCCAAAAAATATTTGTTAAACAAATCAAACTCAAGCCTTTAAATTTCTCAATATAAGAAGAAATGGACTTAAACCACTTTCAAAACAAACGACTCATATATGTTATTACCTTACTTAAATACTAGATGATACGTACCTGACCCATGGAAAATGTAACTTTCCGAAACTTTCTACACTCATTATGCCATATATCTTGTATTTAAACTCCGACCCATTTAATTTCCTTTACACATTGCCCTTAGATATCCTCTACAATATCCTTAAAAAATAATTTTCAAAAGACAAATATATCTTAGAAATTATCCGTAAATGTTCAGCTAATTTTACACATATATTTACCTCTTCTTTTCAGGGTGATTCTGGTGGTCCTTTGCAGTGCCGTCTAACAAAAACTGGTCCCTGGATTCTGGCTGGTATAACATCATTCGGTTCTGGCTGTTCCATTGAAGGTTACCCCGATGTCTACACAAGAATATCACATTATATGAAATGGATACAGGATACAATAGCTTTTGAATAAGATTCATAAAACTATAGTTAGTTTACAAATACCTGAAGTTATTATTACTATGACAAAATTTTAACAAAATTTTGCATTTTGTAAATGCACCAAAATTACGAACTCAATTTTTAAAGAGTTCTAACACCAAAAGTACAATATTGACAATTATATTATTTTTGTTTTAAATTTTTTGTTTTGTTTTTTATAATTTTTTTTAATTATTTATTTTTGTTCGTATAAAAAAAATCGTATGAGTAACTTAAGTTAATTACTTGACTATATTTTGTTATAATTATATAGTTTTACATTGTTGCGTTTTTTATTTTAGTTTTTTTTTAAGTTTAATTGTTTTTGTTTTGTTTTATATTTATTAAATACCCCATTACTTTGTAAGCATACGATACACTAAAAAAAATACAAATGAATGAAAGCTGAAGCTAAAGCGAGAGAACATTAATAAAAAAAATCCCTTTCTCATAGAAACGATATAAAATAAAGAAAACTTAACTTAAATTTATTATCACAGCCATAAATACTTTTCTACGTCTTCCCCAAACTACAAATGAAAAAAAAAAAAACTAACTAACTAAAGAAAGAAATCCTAAGGATAACTGACTACCTACATACATACACGAGAAGCTAATAGCTACATTTATAAACTAACACTAAGACAGCGATGAAAACAATGACGAGAATGATGATGAGGATTATTTGGGACAAGTCGTCCCTTGTTGTAACTGCAACCGAAAATGAACACAGGCGATGAGCATCAATTGAGTGTGACTACATATATAGTGTGAGTAAAAAATGATGATGATGGTGGCGGCGGGGTGCAATCGTTGTCGATGGATGGCGGCATTGGCAGACACAATTCTCATTTACAATATCATGTTATTGTTGTTTTCTATATTCGGGCAATATAAATGTACTGCTCTGCTTCTCCATTTCCAGTTCCATCTCGATGTCGAGCAACTCTTGCTGTTCACCCAATTCCAATTCCATTTCAAGTAGTTGTTCTTGCTCCTCGGCGTCGTGATGTTCACCACCAGCCACTTGTGGCACCAGCGGTACCAATGGTGCAAACGCCACATGCGCTTTACTAAGTCTACGGGCTTTCTTTTTAGTTTCTTCGGCCAGGGCCAGCATTTTGTTGCAACTGCTGTTGTTAGTTCCGGCTGGTATAATACTGGTGGCTACCATAGCAGCCGTTGATGTTATCGTCGATGTTGGTATCTGGAAACACTTGAACAGGGATGCACCCAAAAATGCTAGGCCGGCAATAAATAAGCCAATAATGATGCCATACTGTAAATAGGGGCACACTTTAAAGAGCAGCTGCAGGAGTATTTTCAATTCGGTTGTTAGTTCTTCAACGCCCTGGAAATGGAAAAAAAAAAATAAATTTAATATAACATTTAAAATAGATAAGAAATTGAAATAAATAAATTTTGTTGGAATATATGAACTATGGAGTTCATTACGAGTATTTTTTTATTATAAATATGTTTTTTAATTTACTTTCATTAAATTTCCTAACATTTCTTCTTAATTTGGGAAGTCATGACTATGGCAGAAATCTCCAGAAGTACCATTATATTGGGGATACTCCAACATTTTTGGTACATTTGTTTTTAGGGTTTTTATTCCCTTATATAATTCCTTTATACTATATATAATCCCAAATAATTGAAACACCCATCCAAAATACCTTAATCTGGGAGGGTATATAAGGTCAACACTAAAAAGTAAAGTAATATTTATAATTTGTAGTGGGGAGTTTTTTTTTACCCAATAAGAACCCACGTCAGTTGAAAAACATGTCGAAAATATTGTTGTATAGGGACCGATATATTCTATTTCAATATGAAACATCCTAGTATTAGTAGCAATGTATGTGCAAACATGACTTATATATGCGAACTCTATCGTGATTTCTACAGGCGGAAATGGCGAAATAGAATTTTATTTTGATCAGGAATATATATACCGCCGTATGTTTTTTGGTCTTGCAAACGGGATAACGAATTTAATATACACTCTACCTTATGGTGAAAGGAATAAAAATAAGTATGACTCGTACACAACTTTGCCAGTAAATGCTACCATTTGTTGCATTCTTTCAACCGGATAGCAATTTCGGAGGATTATTTTCTGGATGTACAGGTCCCCAAGATATCAGGAATGTTGGTTATCATAGGCGAAATTTTCTACAAAAGGGTTTTTAGTGGGTAAACAAATGTTATATATCGGTTCATGTTTTGAAATATTCTCTCCTTATAGCTTCGATATATTGAAGGTTCTAGCCACCCAGAGGTTAAAAAATATGTCCTTGCAGACAATATAAAAAATAGCTCAACATATTTTTGCTTATTTTACACAAAATTTCTTTGGTATAGAATCTTGAATTTTTAAGAAAATATTATTAGGGACTGATTTTTAATAATATAGTTTGATAGTATAATTCTTCGTTTCCGAAAGCTTATGCCATACGCAGTATATATTTATCCTTACATTTTATGAAATTTTGGACTGCGAAGTCTATGTGTTTGGATCAAATAATCAGCCTTATTCTGGATATTCGTTGGGAGATATCTCGCAAGTAAAAACATTTTCGCATTCACATTCTCGCCTTATTCCAAATGAATAGGGAGAAGCAAAAAATGCGAGATGCGGATTCGAAAATTGTGGTTAAAAAAAGATTCGAGTTGCCATATTGTAATCTAAGTTGTAATGTGTAATTTAAGTTGCATTGTGTGTTGCCACATTGCAATTTAATTATGTAATATTTTTCAATATTTTATTTATTGATTTTTTTATTAAAAATGTTTACTTTTTATTGTTATTCAAACATTATAAAAAACAAATGTGAAATATCAATAATCCCCTGTATAAATGCTTTGTAAATGAAAGACAATAAATTAAAGTTTGAAAATATGGCAACCTATAATATGGCATGTGAAACAGCTGTTCATTGTTTTGATACAATTTGGTGCAACAACTACAATAGATTACAAATAAAAGAAATTTTTTTATGATGGCAAAAACACAACGAATAATGGGAAGAAATCTGCGATTGAATTAATTCATTCACATATTATTTCACTACATAATTGTGTGTCTTTACAGCCAATTCGGTTGAGAAACTTCTTCAAAATCACAAAATACTGAATATTGATTTGGAATATTGAGTGTACCGTTATATAGGGGCTACACCAAAACGTGTACCTACACTGGTAAAACAACTGAAATTACAAACTGAATAAATGACACGTAACTTTTAAATAAAGTTATAATGATTTTTTTTCTGAATTAAATATGTAATTTATTCACTTTTACGAAACAAAAAATATAAACGGATTTTTTTTTTAATAAAAAATATTCGACGGAAAACTAAATCTATGAAATTTTGGACTGCGAAGTCTATGTGTTTGGATCAAATAATCAGCCTTATTCTGGATATTCGTTGGGAGATATCTCGCAAGTAAAAACATTTTCGCATTCACATTCTCGCCTTATTCTGAATGAATAGGGAGATGCAAAAAATGCGAGATGCGGATTCGTGTTTTCGAAAATGGTGGTTGAAGAACAGATTCGTGTTGCCATATTGTAATTTAAGTTGTAATGTGTAATTTAAGTTGCATTGTGTGTTGCCACATTGCAATTTAATTATGTAATATTTTTCAATATTTTATTTATTGATTTTTTTATTAAAAATGTTTACTTTTTATTGTTATTCAAACATTATAAAAAACAAATGTGAAATATCAATAATCCCCTGTATAAATGCTTTGTAAATGAAAGACAATAAATTAAAGTTTGAAAATATGGCAACCTATAATATGGCATGTGAAACAGCTGTTCATTGTTTTGATACAATTTGGTGCAACAACTACAATAGATTACAAATAAAAGAAATTTTTTTATGATGGCAAAAACACAACGAATAATGGGAAGAAATCTGCGATTGAATTAATTCATTCACATATTATTATTTCACTACATAATTGTGTGTCTTTACAGCCAATTCGGTTGAGAAACTTCTTCAAAATCACAAAATACTGATTATTGATTTGGAATATTGAGTGTACCGTTATATAGGGGCTACACCAAAACGTGTACCTACACTGGTAAAACAACTGAAATTACAAACTGAATAAATGACACGTAACTTTTAAATAAAGTTATAATGATTTTTTTCTGAATTAAATATGTAATTTATTCACTTTTACGAAACAAAAAATATAAACGGATTTTTTTAATAAAAAATATTCGATGGAAAACTAAATTGACCTAATTTTTGCTTGGACTAAATCAAGTTTTTGATTTTTCTAGTAATCGACACGTACGAGGCATTAAATCAATAGAATGCTCAATTTGATGCTTGGGTATATTATTCCTTGTATCCTAGACATTTGGGAACAGATTATGTCTGTTTGTTTCTGAAACTCTTTTGATTTTGGCATCTATGATACTTCAAAGATTAATAAGGCAAAGATTTGATAATTGTGTTGGATTGGTTTTTAACTCCCACAACCAATCGTTGGTTGTGGAAGTCAAAGCTGAAACACCAAAACCAGCAGTATATTTTCTTCAGCGAAGGGAATCATAGTGTTTTCCAACACATTTGTATAAACAATCCGATCCATTACTTCAATAATCTTGCAATTATATCGAACTCCATAAAAAGAAAAATAGCCCAATACCATTATTGCTTTCCATGCCTCCAGTACCCTTGCAATATTGTGGCATGGGCGTTTTATTTTTGGACTTTCTCACGGTGATGTTTCATTAATATTTATCTGCAATTCATCATAGAGCATAATATTTCTCCTCTGAGTCGGATTCCAATTTATATGAGCTTTTGGGAAAGCCAATCTCGCTTTGCGATTCTTTTCAGAAATAAAAGGGAATTCTTGATAGTTTCTGGACGCTCTGTACTGAGATTATATTCGTCTCACCAATTCCGTTGATCTCTTAAATCGGTATTTTTAACTGCCATGACAATTTGTTGTTCAGTACGAACTGCTGTTCTTTTGAAGCCCTCCTGCGTGCTGAACTGTCAATGCTGATATTGTTGCATAAAATCATTTTCTGTGATAAATTATTTTCATCACTGGTAATTAGCGGTTCTATTGGTGTGGTGCTGTATTTTATATTTTTTATATTTTTCAAAATTGTCAAAATTGAAAACCAGACACATTTTATTGTTATAAAATTAATTTAAAAATAATCTATAAGAATCGAAATAGGTGTGGGGAACAAAACTCAGTCAAAAATAACAAAAATTTTGGACCTCATTTGTTTGTACTGTAGTGTTGCTTTAGTTTTGCCCAAGCAATTTAGCAATTTAGACAACTCCCTTAACCATAGATTATTATTTACATCATAATAAATTTTGCATCAATGCTTTTGTTTTTAGTGAATGAAGTATCAGATTTAAATCTGAGAAAACCAACACGATATCTTTATTTTTGAAAAAGTAACGCAGAATTTATTTATTAACCTTGCAATTTTAGTTGTAATATCAAACGTCATATTAGTAAATCAACATAGAGTTTTATTTGAACAAGAATATGTATACTTTGCGGTGCCTCCGTTAAATTTTTCGAGGTGTAGCAATCGGAGTGACAAATGTACAAGGAGATACTATTTTTCTTAAAATTTGTGGAAAGCATTTTTAGGGAAAATGTGTTTTAAATCAGGATATTGTGAGGATATTATAATTTTTTGTGGCTCAAGAGTTTGTTGCACCACGAAATATTGGTTCTAGATCCACCATTTAGAATACCAATAGTGATATATCGACTAGTTCTTAAATATTTACATAGACCCCATATATATTTTAATATTTTCTATATTAACATTATTGTACTTTCAAATATTACGCCGTTCGTTATAGAATTTTTGAGGTTTTGGATGTGTTTTAAGGATGACTCCTGTAAATTTCGGTTAATATTCCAAACTCCATGATATACCTGAATCGATTTCAACAAACCCCAATATACGTCATTCTAAGCTCATTTGTACGTTGTGGAATTTTTATCAATATCTATTTTATACTGTATCAAAATCTGATCCGAATTCAAGTACATAATTTTGTACGGTGTGCCAAATGTGTTCTCAATCGGACACTTCCGTGAAGTATTGTATAATTGGACAATTCAATTACAATCAAAAATACGACCTGTAGTTTGTTTACAATTTAGCATGGACAAACAGACGGAGGGACATACATGCATAAATCGTCTAAGAAAGTGTTTCTCAAGTAGTTGATGAGAAAAAGTCGCTGTTTAGTGCGCTCTTTGATCGTCGAAAAATACTATGGAGCGACGGTCATTTCGGAGTGTTATGGTCCTGCTTTTGAGGAATACCACTTGGAGAATATGTGGATTAAACAAAACGGTGCCAAATGCCACATAACTCGAAATTTCTTGGCCTCGTAATTTCTCGTCATGGAGATATCCACAGACCGCCAAGATCATGCGATTTGACATCATTATACTTTTTGTGGAACTGCATGAAATACTCCTTTCTGGGTTTTTGTAGGGCTAAACTCATTTTTTACATAGTCAAAGCCCCATATAAAGATATTTTCCAACCAAAGGGACTGTTACTTAGCATTCCGTGTTCTTGCTTTGTGAAAACTATATATCCATATTTGTTTTAATTACCATATATCACTCTAAAATATATCAAAAATAAATTATTTATTTATTTGTTTCTAGGCCTGGATGTGTTATGCGAATTTTCTTATCCTTGATAAGTACACGTAAGTATATGAACCTCATAATTATATTTAAAACAGTATAATTCATTACATTGTAGTCTAATATTATTGTTTATATCTACTAAACTCCAACTAATAATACTTACAAATTCCAACCAGAGAAGCGGTAAAACGGTATTACGAAACTTGTACATTTCTCTATTGAATTTAACGTCATCAACCATTAGATTAACTTGAAACCGGGAATATACTCTCATTGGGATGCCCAATTGCTAAAACAAATTAAAAAGATGTTTTAATTAATTTTCAGCCATAAATTCGAAATTAAAACTATCTTTAAAATATTCCAAAAAATCAAATAATTGTCCAAAATATTTACCGGTTGAATGGCAACTTCCGAGCCATGTTTAGATTCGTTAGGACTTAAGCCATCAACACCTTCCAATAAACTGGGATCCGAATTAAAGAAATGTGGAAATGATATAGCCAAAGGTATGTCTAAAAAAAAATCAAAAATATATTTCAAATCCAATAATTATTCCATGAAATCAAAAACTTACTGTAATAACAGGGTGTAACATTGCCCAAACCCCTCTTCAAACACTTTTTGCGACTACAATAACACGATGTATCCGGATCCTTCCAATCACTGTCAAATGCTCGTTCGTGCAATTTAAAATGATATGCCTCTATACCATCAATTTTTCCCGGATGCGAATAAACAATGGGTAGGGCACGACAGAAGGCCTTGCGATAAATGCGAAATGTTTCACCCTTGGCAATTTGGCGGGGGAACAAAGTTCCATCATAGGTGCCGTGTATGCTATTGCAATTGGTGACACTAAAAAGCAATCCAACATTTAGAATAAATGTTCTAATTTGATCCTATTATAATTCTCATCACTACTTACTTTCCCCTATTTTTAGTCCAAAATTTCACATCCACACCGCCATTCCATGTATCCAAGGCGTAATCTCTCAACTCATTTGGATCTTTTGGCTGGGCATCTTTCTTTTTATTTTTATTTGGCAATTTCATTGTCACCGTATTATCACCCTCATCGAATATTCTCTCCAATATGCCAAATCTACGAAAATTAATAAAATTCGGCACAAATTTCGAGGCCAATTCCACTAGATGATCTTCATAGCCCCATAAATATTCATAGACGGACATCTTGAGCATCGGTTTCGATTTCAGCTGGCGTGTCAATGCGCTCACACCCAATGCCGCAAAGGTCGACAGCGATGTTGCGGCCGATGATGCACCCATATACGGAATGTTCGGTGCCACTATGTAATCATCCTTGGGATCACCAATCGATTTGGCACGTATGAACTTTACTTCCCGTCTGGGCATATAGGTTATGGTACCATTGTCATTGAAGGTTACATTGTGATTTGTCAGAATTTCCTGGTAAACATACGGTCCGACCTCAGCTACACGCAGTTTGGCATCGATGCCACGCACATATTCATCCAGATTGGTTACGTTGAACATGTAAACCTTCATGAACACTTCCAATGGCGGTTTCTTCCATAGGTTAAATAACAACGAACCAGTTCTTAATGTCAATTGCTGCAACGAAGACAGGTGGAGAGAAAAAATAAAAAGAGATGTAATTAATTACCATGAAATAAATAGGAAATGATACGGGCAATTTGTCATGAAGTGAATTGTGAAGATTGATGATAAACAGTGGTACTGAACAAATTTTCCTTATGTAAAATTAAACTTTTTGGGAAAAGCAATCAAAATATTGAAACATTATTATAATAGTGTTTTAAATATTTCTAAAAAAGGCTATATCCCCCTCCAGATGAAATTCATCCGAAACTCCCTTATATTTTAATTACCAACCTCGGCATCAATATCGGAGAAGCAATGCAGGAAATAGCGCCACCCACTGCACAAAACTAAATGATACATTGTTTCTAGGAAACGATAGATGGCAGCACCATCACATAGGACAGTCTACATCAGACCTACTGGAATAAAAAATAGCATGAAAAAAATTGTGACTACCGAAACTAATACAAGGGCTGTGAACTTATCCACTAGCTCATCGCAGACAAGATTTGCCAACCAATAGAACCGAAAATATCAACTTATAGCCGAAATACTGAATAAGGGAGAACACCGTTATATGGGACCCACCTCGAAATTTGAATAACTATTGATATTTTTTTAGTATGGAGATTTTCTACACAATGTGGGATCAAAATACTAAATTACCGCAGATTGGGTTAAAACGTAACCAAACTTCCCAAATACCTAAATTTGGGAGGTACAGTTATCTAGGGGATACCCAAACAAATGGACTCTTGCCTTCAGCCTCCCTGCCTTCAGCTAATCTACAGAGATCCCCTTCAGATCGTCTACAGAGATCCCCTTCACTTCTATAGAGGCTCTCTTCAATTCGCCTATAATGACTCCGTTCAGCACATCGTCTATAAAGACGCCCTGCCTTCAGTTGGTCTGCATAAGCTCTTCTGTAAAAACTCCCGTCAGCTCGTCCATGAAGACTCCCTGTCAAGTAGGAAGATTTGAGGACCCTATCTTATCTTATCTCTTATTCTGATCTCCGGGTAATATTTCGAGGTGTGGCAAACGGAATGAAAAATTGAATACAAACTTTCCTTAGTGGCATAAGGGTATTAAAATATATATTAAATTAAAGCTGAGCATTATAATGGACAATATTGGTTAATATAATAAAGTATATGGAACATTATAAAGCGAAACATTTCTACCGAAATTGAATCAAGTAAAAGTTCAGACTACGTGGGTCATATTCTTTAGATCTTTGAAATTGAAGGAAGTACTTAGCTCAATACTGATATTTAGGTCCTAACAATCCTTATATTTAGGCCGATATAGGTTGTAACAAATCAAAGGTAGGTGAAATTGTCGATATGGATCGAAGCAACCGAAGAGGATGTACCCTGGCATTATACCTTTTATATGTGCTATTAACAGTATTACCCAAATTGCATTATTCTGAAGGTCCATGTCTCGTTTTCTAACTATAGATGTAATTTTGTAGTTTCGTACAATATTTTCATGGAAAGTATATTTTAGTATATATAGACCGAAATTTTGCCCATATAAATATGACGACCAATTTTCGTTATTATGTAAGACCTTATTTGTATACCTTGGCGTGGCCTCATGTGTTTGTAACACCACCAAATTTTGGTCCTGGACTCACGTTTTAGTTTACCGATTGGTTATTTTCTTGTTATTTCTAGTCAAAATTAAACGGGTCTAATGGACCCAAGCTTTGGCCAAAATTTATATTCTATGGCTTATATATTTGCTCCTGAAGAGAATAGAGAAGTATTTGAACTTTAAAGACCTGCCTATTCTGATAAAGTTTATTATTACCATTAGAACCATAGAGGGCGTATAATTTTCCGCAATGATCATATGATATTTATGGGATAACATTTACCGAAAATACTTTTTTGTGTGTATTTTAAAGTCCATCTATAGGTTACAAACCGAACATCACAACACATCATACGGGGATAGAATTCGCACAACTAATTATAAGGTATTTGTTCACTTTAAAGAGGTTTCAAATTAAATTTAGCAAGTTTCAAAAAAATACCCTTTATGGGGTAGGTACCAGAAGAAGATGGCCGACCGATCCCATCTTCGAACCTGATTTAGGCTTGGTAAATAAAATAGGTTGTACAAAGTTTCGTTCTAATCGGACATTCCATTTGCGTGATATTGAATGTATAGATATTGGAAATTTTGACCATTTGTGGAAGAGATACCAGAAGGAGGTGACCAATGGGTCCCATCCTCAAACTTGATATAGGCTTGGTAAATATAAAATGTTGTGCTAAGTTTGGTTAAAATCGAACATTCCATTCGCTTAATATTAGATTTATAAATATTGAAAATTGGGACTATTTAAGGGAGGGAGGTACCAGAGCTAGTGGGTCCCATCTTCGGACCTGATCTAGGCTTGGTAAAGATAATAGATTGTGCAAAGTTTGGTTCAAATCGGACATTACATTTGCTTGGTGTTGAATTTATAAATATTGAAAATGTTGACCTTTTGTGGGGGAGGTACCAGAAGGAGTGGACGAATGGGTCCCATATTCGGACTTGATAAGGTAAGAAAAGGTAATCGGTCAGAATCAGAAAAACAAATTCGCCATAGTTCATGTTATATGGGGATTAATTTGTTCATGATAACTCCAAAGTTTACGAAGAAAAAGCTTTATATCTTTGCTTGGGGTACTGTAAGTTATTTTTGAGATGGAATGTCTTCAGTCAAATCATGTGGGGAACATTTGTGTAAAACATCCACTCGTTCTATCTATTCTAAAAAAATTTGGTCCATACCATTTTATATAGGGTCCTCAAAGGCATGATATTGAAATTCGCAAGTTTTTCATCATCCTTTTTCTCTTTTACCTGATCTTTACTAAGAAAAAGTTATATCTACGAACACTAAAAAATTATGAATTAAATGCTGATTTTTTAAATTGGATTTTATATAACCGAATTTTGCACCGGTTGTATAAATCAATTAAACTTATACTATACTATACTATCGTTTGAAAGCTAAAATCATTGATAATCAGGGTTTAAAATGCTAACGCCAAAATAGCAAAAACACAGAAAATTGCCGCACTGCTAACTAAATTCATCCTCAAAATATGCAGCACAGCCAAGCACAACTGCAACAAATAGCAATACATTACGAATAATTTTAGCAAGCAAAACTAAAGCTTCTTGATTTTGTCAGGAGCTACAAAATAGCAATGAACAACTACAACATAATTGTCAACGCGACTAACAACCAAAGCTTACAATAAAGACTAAGCACCTTGACTGTGGCTGCTTAGCAAGATTTTTAGCAAACAAAATCCGAGCATTTTTCGAGTTCAGTGTTGCCCATTGAAATTTTATATATTATATGAGAGAATTAAAAATCGTGATTATGATAATTTCATTTTTTCGAACAAATACAATTAGTAATATTTGCTAAAGAGTTTAATTTAATATATTATTTAGTTTTTAGTACTATTATTGACAGTTTTTGATTATGATTTAACAAGTTTAAATTAAATAAAAACGCACAAAATGAAATTCATTTTTTTCTAATTTCTGCGTTGGCAACACACAAACATAAAAACAACCCTCGGCTTATTATTCATCAGCAGCGAAATATGAATAAGTAGTCGTACTGCCGATTAGTCATAACAAAAAAAGCTCGCATGTGCAATACGTGCTTAGCATGGATGCTACGAACTAAAAAAGCTAGCCGTTTGCTGATTTAGTCATAATGTCAATATTTTTTAGCAGTAGCTCTGTAAGACTAATGCTAATATTTTTTGATGCTGCATTTTAAACCCTGTTGATAATCATATCTCAAAAAAATGTATTTCACTTCAAGTCCTAAATTGTCAACCATTGCTTGATAAAGTTTTCTCTCTTATAATTCCGCGAACATTCCTACACAATCTAGGCATTTCTTCAGAAGTTACTTTATCATTAATTGTAATTGTAAACAAAAAAAAAAAAACAGCTATTCAAACCACTGTATCATCAAAACCAATATAAATAACACTCTGGCACATGTTTACTTACCGAATCAACAACCAATGCTACAGGATCACTGACTAGTACTACCACAGACAATATGCTTAAGGTCATGCCAAGTGCAGCAAATTTAAGAATATCTGTAACCAAAATAAACAAAAAATAGTACTCAATGAAAACAAAGAACAGATTAAGACAAATCAATAAAAATGTCAAAATTAAAGCAAATCATTTGTTGCGTGATCAGGATGTGTCAGAATGTGGTCATTAATGGAAGGAAAATTTTTGATGGCAATGGAATTTTTCAATTAAGTCGAAATTGTCAAAAATGTTGTGGAAGCAATAAAAAACCTCAAAAAACAACAACACCAAAAAAAGAAAACAATTACACGGATGCACAAATGGTAACAACTTAAAAAAACTAGTTTCATTTTCGGCGAATTTTGCCTCCGAAAACAAAAACCCAAAAAATTAAAACAAAGCGGTAGGTGAATTGCACGCCGCCAGCCACGCACACCTTCTCTTGTTGAGGTGAAACATGAAATAAACATGTTCCGAATGCACTCTCTGGTGATCTCTCTGGCATTGACAAAAAGTTCAATATCAAGGTGACATTTTTTCAAAAAGAAAAAAACGAAAATATTCGATCTCATCAATTTCAGGGTTTTTCCAAGGGCCCCAGACAGCATCATTATTGTGTTCTACCATCAAAAAGCAATGTGGCACAGTGACCTACAATCTACATCGATAAGGTTTCCATGATGTCGGAACCAATATCAGATGACTATGGGTTATTTATCATTTAAAAAAAATACAGACTTCTACATTTATGAATTATTCAATATTCCAATATGTTTTGTTTTGCTTTTTCGTTGGACGTCAATAATAGTGGCACTTGAATGGCCAGAGATAAATACTAGGCCCAAAACAAAACTTCCAAAAAAATGCATAAGCTTTCATTTTCATCGGAAATTTTGCTGGCCACGTTAAGCGATTAATTGTTGGTATAGGTCCGGGCGCAGCACACCACCAACACCACACAGCAACACTCAATCACCAACAAGCTCAGAATCCAAAAATTTACATCTGAAATTGACCGCAAATTATACCCAAACAAAAACAACAACGATATTCAATGTTGTTGATATTGTTGTTGGTGGTGCTGGTGCAGCAACAAATTTCACGCTGATAGCCATAACCTTACCAAACACCAATAACAACAAACAGGTAAAGCCACAACGGCGGCAGCAGCAGCAACGCGTAAAGAAACCAACATTATTAACCTAAACGTTCGTTGGCTGGTTGGTTGGTCGGTCGGTTCGATGGTAAAGTCACTTAACCACTCACTTAACAACGAGAGGTGAGTCAGCCAGCTAGCCACCCAGTCTTACTGACAAATGGTCAGCTATTAACCAAAATAAAAACAAAACACCAACAACAAACCAGATCAATGAACCTCCATTATGTTGTTGTGGTGCTGGTGGTTGTAGCAGCTGACTTTAGCGCCATAAGTTATACCGGTACAGGTTATAAGACTGTGACGGATGGGTGGCTGTTCTTTCATTCCCCTCCAATACTCTTACACACACACACAAGACATTCAGCAGCATTAATTCAGTTTTTTGTTAAATATAAAAACCAAATCGAATCGAAATCGTTATGAATGAATTTAATGCTGACAATCATTGCAGCGTAATGAATGTTTGTATGTATGTCTGTAAGCACTGAGCCTATAACTGATACCCCACCGGTGCATACGGACTTAAGTGAGTGATATTAAGCAATATTTTTGCAAATTACATTTACGTATGAAAGGAAAACAGTGGGTAAAAGTATGGAATGGAAGGATTATAAATCAATCGATGAATTTTATAAGGACCAATTTTGTGGTTTGTATGTACCCAAAATGAGGACAACGTAATTAAATGGCGATGAGAATTGTCCATTGCAGACTTACATTCTCACCATAGTCATCGATCTAGTTCAGCTAATTTTCTCCAAAAAGTGCACATATGACCATTGTTAGTAAGATGTAAGAATATAGTGTAAATTATCAGTGGATCAAGTTAACAAATAGTTGTAACCAACTCAGCAAAAATAACAGGGTTCTGCAGTACTTTTCTTATTCCATTTTAAGTATAGCCCATACACGTTCTATTGGATGTATATAAGCCACTTAAAAGTGTATAGATATCACAGGTCTGCAGAGAAACAACAGGTCTGTATAAAGGTCTGTATATAAAGTTCAATTATAAACCTATTGAAAGTGTAAAAAAACAACTGCTCTTTTTAAATACCAATTAGTCTCAATAGAGAAAGCATGTAGTTATAAGGTCGTCTGACAAGGTTATTTCTCACATAAGGTTCTTGTCTGGAACGACAACTTGTAAAACGTCGTTACCTTCGCACGGACTTCACTTTTCAAAATACATCAAATCAGTCGAAGTTTCCTATTAGGTGTGTTTTTATCCTCTGAAAAGCAATATTCCAAATTAGAAGCACTTTAAAGAATTCAGCTATGATCTTAAGAACGCCGATAATGAATCGGGCTATATAAAAGCATATTTCCTATAATTTTTTACATAAATGTTTAGCCTATAATGTCTTCAACCACTTTATTTATTTACCAAGAATATGAAAATCCGTCTAGGACTATAAAAATACCTAAACGGAATAATATAAAAACATTGCAACCATCGGGGCTAGGAAATGCGCCTAGGAACACAAAATTGTCTGAAATCAAATCCACTATAGACCAGATTTCCACACTTCGCCAATACTTATTCATCGACTATATAGCCGCATTCGATAGTCCAATCCGCTCACATATGTTTAAAGCCATGTCTGCGTTCGGCATTTCTGCAAAATTAATACAGCTATGCAGGATAACTTTAACTGGGACAAGCTCAGTCGTTCAGATCCCTTCAATACCGAACCAGAATACAGAAAAGGTGACCTGAATCCTTTCTAACATCCTGCTGGAAAAGGTCATACAGGTGAACAGAAATGGCACTCTGACATCGATATAATCGAACATTGGGGACGGTTACAGCCACATTTGAACGAATACCTCAGTACTACTGTAAACAAAACAAATGACATCAGTTATGAGATACGTAGGAGAGTGTTGGCATCTGTTAGTAGCATATGTTACTATGGTCCATGTAAGCAATTTTGAAACAAGGCTACCCTCGCCAGACCAGACTCACATTCTACAAGACGCTTATACTACCCGTGTTGGTGTATGGATCTGATGCAAGCAGATGAGGCAGCTCTTGGATTTTTTGAGAAAAATATTATCCGAAAGATATACGGGTCGATCTACGTCGACGGTTAATATCGGCGTTGAATGAATCACGAGCATTATCCTCTATTCTCGGACATTGACAGGCGGATCAAGCTGCAGCGACTACGTTGGCTAAATCATATTATCAGAATGGATGAGGATGTATCAGCTCAAAAGACATATCAAATCGATGGTTAACGCAGAGGGGGAAGGTCACGAATTCGATGGAAAGATCAAGTGGAGGAACACATATCAAAGCATGGTCTTTCAAATTGGAAAAGCTGGAAATCTTTTTTAAGCTCTTGCCAAAAATGTGTTATATTTAGCTCTTGGTCATGTCGACCAGGGGCTATATTTTAGAAGTCACAATTATGATCCGAATACTAGAAAAGTTTACAAAGAGAAGATAATCAAGTCAACAAATGATCATGGCTGTTTTAATGATAATCACTTCAGATTTGAGCGACCTTCTATATTTAATATAATTTCGGGAGAAGTTTTTCGACCAAACACGTGACTTTCCGTTATACATTCAAATAAATGAATTGGTTGCCACTAAATTTTGACATAGTCCTGAGAAGTTTCTTGATCTTTTGCATTTCTTAAAGTTTTTCAGTAGAGACCGCACAGGACGATTTTATCATAAAAATCGATACCACACTGCATATGGCACCAACACTCTCATGTATGTTGACTCCTCGGCAATTGGGCAACACAAAATTGGCGACATTTTTTAATACATTAAAATAATATAAGTAATATTTTATAAGTATTCCAAATAATTTTTTACACCAGTAAGATTTGATTTATAATAAGTTTATAATAGTGTTCGTTATATTCGTTAAAAGTTTTTTTTCTACTGGCCTTCTATGTCTTTGGTAACAGAGCTTGGAACCACTTTGTCATTCTGCGTTTTTTGTAGGTCATCTTCATTATCCACTACACCTTTTGGAAAATACTCATGATGTTCGACGCCCCTACAAGAAAAGCCTTCTCATTCAAGTCGGCTGGCTCATACGGGAACTTTCCCAAGCCTATCAGAAAACCACGACATCTAAAGTTCTTTAAATAACCAAAAAAGCTTATAATATTCTATAATTAGTCTTTAAAAAATTCCCAGAAAAATTAATACCAGACACTCAGGTTGGCTAGGACTTTGAACATGCTGGAAATAAAACGTGACGATTGAAAAAAATTTGTACGAAATCCTGAAAATACCGAATGTTAGTGTCCTATACAGTAAGGGGGATACATATTGACCATTTTTGGTAGAAAGATATTGATAATTTTTGGAGTGTCAACAAAATTTAATATGGCTCCTATGGTATGGTTGAAAACCATATGGTTGAAAAACATGTCATAATATACTAAAATTTTGGGAGGTAGCCTTATATGGGAGCTACTCTAAAAAGTTGACCAATATTGATAGTACTTGGTATACAAATTTGGTCCTTAATTAGAACTCGAATACTAAATTACAGCAAAAATACCACAAAAATACGGAATTAAGGTGGTATCTTAATATGGGGACAATACCAAAATGTGGACTAATATTATATATTCAATTTACAATAGCAAATATTCGCAATGTCTATATTAAATATTGTAATCTCTATCGTGATTTCAACAGTCGAGCAGAAAGAATCAACATAGAAATTTATCAAAAAAAATATATAAGGTTTATTGAAATCCCATTCTCCTGATAGTTATTAAAAATCTTTGAATCTGATAATCTGATTCTATAGGCCTTGAAGACATAATCTTAAAAATTCTGACCTAACTTTCCTAAAAAAATAGCTTCCGTATAGTCTTCAACAATCGTTGGGAAAAATATTATGAAAAATTTGCGACTCT